GTGTGTGTGTGTGTGTGTGTGTGTGTGTGTTTTGGTTGGTTGGTTGGTTGGTTGGTTGTCTTGTTTTTTGTTTTTGAGAAAGGGTCTTGCTATGTAGTCCAAGCTGGCCCCAAAGTCAGCATCCTCCTTTTTCAGAATTACAGATGTTTGCCACCACACCCAGGACCATGGTAAATTTTTCTGAAAACTAAATCTTTTTAGTAGTTTTATTCTCATTTATTTAGCATGTATATGTGTATGTGAGACGCGGGGAGAGCAGGAAAGGGGTAGGGGGGACAGAGAAATGGGGAAGCCACAGTACACACGTGGAGGTCTCTCTTTCAATCACATCTGGATCAAATTCCAGATGTCAGGTGGACAGTAAGTGCCTTTGCCTACTGAACCGTCTCACTGGTCCTGAAAACCAATTCCATTTAGTAGCCTTTCATCACACTTGGATGTTCATATTATTGGGAGCTAAGAAACTTCCAATACAATATATCAGAATCTTGGAGCTTAAAGGCTGTTAAAAGCTATGTGATCCTGCCTAGCACTTGGGGACAGACATCACTCCCAGGATGCTAAAATTTGTTTACCTACTATTATTTCCGAACACCTCCCAGTAATTCCTATTGTTCTGTTCAGTCAGCTCTGGTTACTAAAATATTCTTTCTTGGTAACCTGGCTTCTGCCTCTTTACCCACTAAACTTAATTCTATCATTCTGTATAATAACAAAGCAACCCAGAACTCCATTTCCGCACACATGTCTCTCTGTGATGTGAGAGTCACATGTCTCCACTGGGTAATCCTCCACAGAATCACCCCGTGGAGACATGTGATTCCCACATCACAGTCAGATTCCATGGATGACTCATGTCCCTCCCAGTGGGCTAGTGTTTTACCATCTCATCCAGCCACCCAAAGACCTGGATCCAACCTATGATTAATACCCTTCTAATTCTGTTCACCTTCTTAGACACATTCCCTCCAAACTGCTGAGCAGTAGGGGGGCTCCCTAGCCCCAGTCTGTAGGGCGTGTCCACACTAATAGCACCACAGTTTAGAAGGACAGGGTGTTGATGCTAACGGAGATGAAAAAGAAGGAGATCAAAATGTAGACCTGAAGGTGAAACAGATTCCTGAACCCCAGTCCCACTTGGTCAGCAGCTGTCCAACTGTCTTATCACTTGCCTTGCTTGGTGGATTTGATTTGTGGCTTTGCTAGAAGGTTGTAGAGGAAAAGAAATGACTATGATGCCTCACATTGTATACATCTGTTTAACAAAATAATAAAAATAAGTTCATCCTGTAAAGTTTATGTCTGTGTTGTTAGTTTCTGGAGTATTTGGGGGGTTGTTTGTTGGAGTTTTATTTTGCTTTTTGGAGGGGGTTGGTTTGGTTTGGGCTTTTAGCTTTGTTTGCTGTTGTTTTTACAGTGCTGGGAATCAAGCCCAGGACCTTATATGCAAACACTCTACCACCCAGCTATATCCCTAGCCCCTGAACTTATAAACTTTTCAAAAGTTACATCAGACTGCAAGTGAACAGAAATATAGATATATAAATATAGATACTCTAATGTGAATGAACATTTGTCTGCATGTATGTCTGTGCACCACGTGTGTACCTGGTGCCCACAAGACCAGAAGAAGACATCATATGCCCTGGATCTGCAGTCACAGGTGGTTATGAACCACCATATGGGTGCTGGGTATTGAACCAAGGACCTCTGCAAGTGCCCTTAACTACTGAGCCATTTCTCTAGCCCCAGTTTCAGATTATGTTATAAACGAATGATCTGGTTCCCAGGCTCTTATTCATTTTTTACAAATATGTGAAGGGGATTGTTAGAAAGTACAGGAGTTGGTCTATCTTGTTTTACATCATCTCCTCTATAATGGCTTTAGAAGGACTGTTATATTTGCATCTTAATCCATTCCCAGGTTTGAGACTGAGAGGGGGATGCGCATAACTGTGGAAACTGATCTCCAAGGCTTGAGCAAGGTTTATGATGATCTGACCCTTCTAAAGACAGACTTGGAAGTTCAGATTGAAGAACTGAGCAAAGACCTGGCCCTCCTCAAAAAGGAGCATCAGGAGGTGAGAAATATGCAGGAATGTGTAGGGAATAATGAAGGGGCTCCAATAGTAAAAGAATAAAAATGAGAGGAGGAGAAACAGGGAGAAGAGGTGATGGAGGCAGCGGTGCTGATGATGGTGATGAAGACAATGTCAGTTATGACAGCAACCCTAACTTGTTTGCATGAGGTTGCTCTCAGTTAAAAAATGAAAAGCAGTGCTCAGGCCACAGGAAGCCTACTTCCTGTTTCCTTTCATCTTTATTCATGCCCAATCAAAGAAGTCCCAAGATGTATTATGTCTTTTCGTCCCAGCCTGATCTGAGAATGTGTTTCAGACTAAACTCAATCAGAATGTCACTCTCCTAGGAAGTTGACGTCCTTCGCCGTCAGCTGGGCAACAATGTCAATGTGGAGGTGGATGCTGCTCCAGGCCTGAACCTGGGAGAGATCATGAATGAGATGAGGCAGAAATATGAAATCTTGGCCCAGAAGAACCTTCAAGAGGCCAAAGAACAGTTTGAGAGACAGGTAATTCTAGAGTGTGAACAGACGCGCAGCAAGTTCTACAGGAGAGAGCCAATGTTTTCTTTCTCTTTTCCGTCCTTCTGTCTTTCCTCTTCCCTCTCCTTTTCTTGCCTTCCTTCCTTCCGTCCTCTTTCTTTGCTCACTTTTCTCAATTCTTGGGGTTTTAGAGTGAAGCTCTGCAGCAGCAAGTCACTGTGAATACCGAAGAGCTGAAAGGAGCCGAGATCCAAGTCACGGAACTGAGACGCACCTACCAGAACCTGGAGATAGAACTCCAGTCTCACCTCAGCATGGTGAGCCCCTCTGGCCTCCCCTGCTCCGTCTGGTCTGTGCTGATGGAGTTCAGAACTCTGGAAGCACAGGCCCTGTAAGAAGTAACCTCTCCCCTTGCAAAGCCAACAAGGAAACAGGTCCAACAGCTAATAATAACTACAACACAGAAAGAAGCTGAGGCAAGGGCAATGAACTGTACAAATACAGAGGAAAGAATAGCTCTTGAACATTCCAAAGGGGAAATCACATTTATCCTACATCTTAAATTGAAGATGAGCTTCAAGTTAGGAAAAGAGTAGAGACGTTGCAGCTAAGCAAACATCAGCCTACAGCAAGCTATGCCAGCAAAACTACCAAGATGACTCTACAGCATTCTGCTTCTGTGTCAGGGATAAAGGGACATACTAGTCTGGATCATGTCAGTGTAGTGGGAAAAAGAGAGACGTAGCTGAACCGTGAGGCAACTCTTAGAGTTGATTCTCAAGGGAAAAACAAAAAACAAAAAAACCCTCAGTTTTGCCTACATTTCATCAGCCAAAGAATGACATGATCAGGCCCGGCCCCCAAGCTTTGAGGGATCTAGTCCTCCACTGACACCAAGAATCATAGAGCCAGGCCTGCCAAAGGCATGGCCTCCTCCCAGGGCAAGGAGGTAAAAGTTGACCTTGTGGCAGTGTATCACACTGAGGAAAACAGTAGGCCCAAAGCTCAAACAAAACAAACAAAAATCCAAAAGATGGCAGGCATAGCTGGCTGGCTGGGTCTGTCTAGATGGGAAGAACAAAAGAGCTAGAAAAATGCGTAGGGCTCAAAGGTTGCAAAAATTCTTCCCAAAAGACAACAATTGCCTTGCTTACTTCAAGTCAGCAAATAAACACCCCCCCTTGTCGTCACTCTCAGAAAGAGTCTCTAGAGCGCACCCTGGAGGAAACCAAGGCTCGTTACGCCAGCCAGTTGGCAGCCATCCAGGGAATGCTGAGCTCGCTCGAGGCCCAACTGATGCAGATCCGGAGTGACACCGAACGCCAGAACCAAGAGCACAATATCCTCCTGGACATAAAAACCCGACTTGAGCAGGAGATTGCTACCTACCGCCGCCTTCTGGAAGGAGAAGATATAGGGTAAGCACCACAGGATATGTGTCCCTGTCTGTTTGCAACTCTCTTTCACAGTCCTTGTCAAGGCAATCCACAGCACAAAGGCAATTTAACACACACACAACATCAAGATGAAAATATACCAAAGAGTATAAAACGCCCAGCTATCAATAGCCTTTAAACGGGGTCTTGGGGCAGGCCTGAGTCAGAAGATAGTTCTCCAAGTGATTAATTCTTATGTATTAATTCTTGTGTTGAATGTATACTTGGATGCATAATATCCTTTTGAAAAATCTTTGCTGACTGCTCATGAGTTAAACCACAGGGCACGAAGGCCCGTGGGAGGGGGTCTGTAAATGAGCAGGATTGGAGCCTGCAAACATAAACCCAAGGACATGAAGAGAACACAGATTTGAACTTCCATCCTAACTTTATTCTTCACTATAGACATTTCCAGTAGATGATAAGCAGGCCGGTTTGACACTAGGTGCTTTCCAAGTTAAAAAGTAGAACACTCCAGGGTGGAATAAGCATGGTCCAGGGGACAGAAATAGGAAAATAACATTTAACCGCCCATCAACTCAGACTTCGGAAAACAAAAGGGCAAGGAAGGAAGCTCCCCAACTTTGATGTGGAAATAATGCTTACTTTCTGTTTCTTTGCTTTGCTTTAAAAAAAATGACAACACAGGACCACAGAGTACCAGCTGTGCACTCTGGAAAGTAGGGGTAAGTGTTGCACACGTGTGCACTTATTTTATATGCAGAAATCTCAGCAGCCTGGGTCCTGTACCAACCTCTGATGTTTAACACACACAGATATCAAGAAAACCAGGAAGATTAAGACCGTCGTGGAGGAGGTGGTGGATGGCAAGGTCGTGTCCTCGGAAATCAAGGAGGTGGAAGAGAGTGTATAACCCGCCGCCGAGGAGAGGCTGCTCCAGCTGAAAATGACAAAGAGCGGCCGTCAGAAAACACCATCAGCTCTGTGTAGTGATCACGGTGGGATGGGGAGTCTATCCGTCAGTCTCTGTAATTAAATATAAATGTCCTCACTCTGTGCTGTAAAGTGCTTGCAAGATTAAACCCAGGGAGTACTAGAATATTTAAGCATCATCACTGCCATCTTCATTACAAGGTACATTCATCACAGGCCAGGTCAGTTATACTAAAGCTCTCGGTTGGAGGAGTTCTAGCAAACTGCAAATAAACCTCCCAATGTTTGAGTTTTGTTTGTCTTGTTTCTGAATTGCTAAGACGCCCTGCAGGGAGCCCATGGGTTCTCCATGAATGCAACTTTCCAGATAATCTCACTGGATTTTGTTTCCTTTTAGCAGGTCTTTGCCATTCCCCCTTTGCTGCTTTTGGTAACTCAACTTAGTTCTTTGAATAATTTAAAAGAATCTCCAATCACAAATGCTGAACAGAATAAGAACAAGGCGCACAGTGATTGAAATGGGACCCAGACTGGAGGTAGAATGGGTCTTCTTTTCATAATAAACTGCTGAACTCTTTGAGCGTGGCTTTATTTGGCAAATCTGGAGTATGAGATGTCTCTTATGGTTTGGGGGGCAACTGCTTTCATGAGACCCAACCACACACTGAGGAATCCACCTTTGTAACATGTGCAGCTTAGTGACCCCCTTTATGATCGTGGGTTGTACAATGATTACCATTAATCCTAGAACATGCCCATTGCCCACAAAGACAAGGCACCAACCTTGGTCCCCACCTGTATGCGCACACAGGTGTACACACACCCACACATGCATGCACATGCACCCACACACATGTGCCCACACAAATGCAAATATGTATGCATGTACACGGAAATGGAAAATAAAAAAGCCACGAGCAAATGACACATATTCTTTGGCATCTGAATGAAAAATAACGGCTCTGTGTGTTAATGGGAAATTTAAATCTGTCCCATATCGTTTGTTTCCTTAATAGATTGATCAGACTTAACATTTATTATGAGAGTTTTCAAATAAGTATGACTTTTATTTTGATTATTAAACAAAATATGGTTAAACAGTTTATTTGAAACTACCTAATATTTACTGGACACTTACTGTGGACTAAGCAGTGGCAAACATTCCATAGTCTCTCATTTCATTCTCACAATAATGCTACAAGCTTGAAACTATCCCATAGACGAACATGAGCTTGTCAGCATATAATAACTAAAGTCTTCATACAATTGGACTTTATGAGATCATCTCCATCTTACATACGAGGATCATATACGAAGACATGAAATAAATGTTTTCCTGCAATTATAATTCACAATCACAGGGAACCGCTGAACCTCGGGGATGCCTAATGCATCTTAATTAATAAATCGAACAATGACAAGTGGACGTGACTCACTCCTGAAGTAGGCATATGTCCTTTGCTGCTGTTCTCTGTCATTTTTACTCACCAAACCTAACAGCCAGCAAGGCAAACACACGGGCTTCAAACTCAAGGCTTCACTCAGCATGCCTAAGTCAGGAAAGACATTCCCAGCAATGTCACTCTCCTACTTTTTCTAAGCAAGATTCACCCTCATTTGTTCCTTACTTTCCTTCCAAGTCGCACCAGCTGGTAAACTGCTTTTAAATAAGTAACAAATGTTATGGATGAATTCTTTTTAACCTGCCAAGACACAGTCCAGAGTGGCCTGAAGATTTCACAGGCAAATACCAGAGACTACAAATCTGACAACTGAAAGGAAAAAGAAGCAGATGCTCCAGGATTGACCTTTATGGTGTGGTGACACAATATGTTTTCACAGGAAAACTGAGAATCCTAACTCGGTGTCATATCAGAAAATAGAGAGTTTTTGTTTGTTTTGTCTCTTGCTTTTTGGATCTATCTCTGGCTTGTTAGTTTGTTTTCAAAATAATCTTTCAAAGAAAATAAAGGGAGACCACATGCACACATAGAACCAGACAGTCAGTTCCTCCTTCCAGTTCCGCCAGTAATTGTGAAGTGAGTGTTCATCTCTGTCTCTCTTTGTACTTTGCATACTGGCTTAGAACCAAACAGTGCGGTCCTGCCGTGTGCACACAAGCCCAGAGGAAGCTGGTCACTCTGAAACACAGGGTGACCCAGTATCAGAGGTCTGAATTAATATCAGGCACAGTTGGCCAGGCAGTGGTGG